TCCTTCCTTCCTTCCTTCCTTCCTTCCTTCCTTCCTTCTTTTTTTTTTGGCTGTTGTTTGAATTTCTTGTATATTGTGGATACTAGGCCCTAACTAAATGAATAATTTGCAAATATTTTCTCCCATTCTGCAGGTTGTTACTTCACTCTGTTGATTGTTTCCTTTGCTGAGCAAATAAAGCCTTTTAGTTTAAGATAGTCCGATTTGTCTATTTTTGTTTTTGTTGCCTGTGCTTTTGGGGTCTTAGCCGCAAAATCTTGGCCTAAACAATGTTCTGAAGCATTTCCCCTGTGTTTTCTTCTGGTACTTTTATAGTTTCAGGTCTTACATTTAAGTCTTTATTCTGTTTTGATTTGATTTTTGTATATGGTGAGAGATAGGAATCTAATCTTATTCTTCTGCATGTGGATGGCAAGTTTTCACAGCACCATATTTTATTTTATTTTATTTTAGTGCATCATACTATACTTGATTTATTGACATTACTTAAGTGATTTATTGGACAAAGGTCAAACCTTTTGTTTTTTTATTAAGCACCTTGCACAGTACAAACTGTCATGAATAATATCTGTACAACTTAACAGTTTCAATAGCTGTTCAGATACAAACTGATTTCAAACAGATAATTGGCAAACATAATTAAAGTCACAGTTAGACTATAGCAAGTGCTATAAAACATTAATATGTCAGTAATTTACAGTGTTCAATTATGGTTGGCAAAATTAAGTTGGAATATGGCTGGGAATTACTATCATAATCCCAGAAAGTCAGAAGTTTTTGGACACCAAAGCATCCTGCTATAAATTAAGTAGGCACAATTCAAATGTTGTATGCACATTCAAAGGCCATGATCTCTTGAGGAATTTGTATATTAAACATGTAAAACAACAAAAAATATATTCATTCAGAAAGAATTGCCTTCTCCCCTCCCCCATTACTTCCCCTGGGCTCTCCTAACCTATTTGATATTAAAGCTGTAAGATAAGGCATGAATAAAGTTAAATCACTTTCACATCCACATTAGAAATGAAGGCTTAGTTTTTACACTTTGAGACTCAACTTTTCAAAAGCAGAAATTAATTTAGTAAAATGTGAGAGGAAAAGATGTACTTTTAAAATAAGGAGAATAAAAAATGAAAAAACAAAGCCAACCCAACAACCAAATCACATACATACACAATGATCTCACACTGTTTTCAATGCAAAGGACGAAGTAGAGCCCAAGGACCTTCCAAATAGTAGTAGACCAGCTCCATTTACTGAACAGAGTGTCCTGTCCCTAATGTATGTTCTTGTGCCTTTGTCAAAAATCAGTTGGCTGTAAATGTGGACTTATTTCTAGGTTCTCTGTTCTGGTCCGTGTGTCTGTTTTTATATAAAGACTATGACGTTTGCTTCCTATGGCTTTGTAGTATATTTTGAATATACTACAGGTGGTGTGACGGGCCTCCAACTTTATTCTTTCTGCTCAATATTGCTTTGGCTATTTGGGGTCTTTTGTGGTTCCATACCAATTTTAGGATTGTTTTCTCTGTTTCTGTGAAGGCTGTCATTGGCATTTTGGTAGCAGTTACATTGAATCTATATATTGCTTTGGGTAGTATGGCTATTTTAAAAATATAATTCTTCCATTCCTTGCAGATGGGATGTTTTTTCCATGTGTTTCTGTCATCTTCAATTTCTTTCAATAATATTTTGCAGTTTTCCTTAGATATCTTTCACTCCTCGGGTTAAATTCATTCCTAGGTATTTTATTTTTTTGTAGCTATTATACATGGGATTGCTTTCTTGATTTCTTTTTCAGCTACCTTGTTGTTGGTGTATAGAAATGCTTCTGACTTTTGCATGTTGACTGATTTTGTATCTTGCAACTTTACTGTGTTGATCAGTTCTGTGAGTTTTTGGTGAATTCTCTACATTTTTCTAGTTATAAGATCATATAATCTTCAAAGAGGGAGCAATTAGACTTCCTCTTTTCTAATTTGGAAAACCTTTATTTCTTTCTCTTGCCTGATTGCGTTAGACAGAACTTCTAGTACTGTGTTGAATAGGAGTGGTGAAAGAGAGCATATTTGTTTTGTTCCAGTTCTTGGAAGAAAGGCATTCAGCTTCTCCCCATTCAGTATAATGTTAGCTATGGGTTTGTCATATATGGCCTTTGTTATGTGGAAATATGTTCCTTCTATGCCTAATTTGTTTTCAGTATTTGTTATGAAGGGATACTGAATTTTATCAAAAGCTTTTTCTGCATCTATGGAGATGATCATACTTTTTTTGTTTTTTATTCTGTTGATGTGATGTATCACATTTATTGATTAGCATATGTTTTATGCAACAGGAGCTCCTGGGCTCACGATAGAATGATGGAATTTTAGATCACATGGAATTTTAAACATAATTACATGTTATAATCCTTTCAGCCTAGTAGGAGATAATTATGAGAAAGATTAGATCAGTTATGAACAAAACAAAGAAACCATAATTTTCTCTGCAATTTGGCTATGATTTAAACAATATACAATTTTCTGTGTAGAAAATGGAACAGATTTGCTCCTATGGTAACATAAAAAAACCCCACCTCTCAGATCTTATAAAACTCATACTCATTTATGAAACTACTGAAGATTGGTAGTTGCAAGAAAAGTCCAGAAGGTCTGATTTTCAGAGAGGGGGGCCCTTTATGAGTGACCTTTTAGCAGTGGCAGTTTGTGGAGGCAAAGGTGGAGAAGAAAGCCTGCCAAAGACTGAGATAGATGAGCTATTGGCACTTTTGGTGGCCAGGCAGGGACATTGGAGTCTGGAAGACTCCCAAATGCAGCAATAATATACTTAACTCAGAAATTGCTTTCTGGCGTCCCATTCCCATTTTACAGAGAACAGGGTGGGGCTAAAAAACAGAAACAACTTTCCACGTATTCTTGTGGTGCCTGGGAACAGAGTTCTGCTCCTACTGATTCAAAATGTAAAACTCAGGTTCAAGACACACTAGGCTCCAGGATTAAACATTGACAAGATCAAAGAAATTAGGCTTTGGAGGCCGGACATGGTGGCTCATGCCTGTAATCCCAGCACTTAGGGAGGTGAGGTGGGTGGATAACAAGGTCAGGAGTTCAAGACCAGCCTCACCAATATGGTGAAACCCCATCTCTACCAAAAAATACAAAAATTACCCAGGCGTGGTAGCGGGCATCTGTAATCCCAGCTACTCAGGAGGCTGAGGCAGGAAAATCGCTTGAACCTGGGAGGCGGAGGTTACAGTGAGCTGAGATCCCACCATTGCACTCTAGCCTGGGCACTAAGAGCGAAACTCTGTCTAAAAACAAACAAACAAACAAACAAACAAACAAAAAAAACTAGGCTTTGGTAGAATCAGCTGTGGCATCAGGAGGAAAGCCTAACCAGTGATGAATTCAATCTTAAAAATTGCTGCTTAGTTCAAGATTAACCTGATACTCAGTGAAATATGAATAATCACTTTCCTACTGTAGCAGCCACACATAGAAGAGATTGTGCATGCCTGGAAATAAAAACAAAACAAAAGAGTTGCATAACTCACTCTTCACTGTTATCCATATACTACGTTCAGTATACCATAAAACATGACCACAGACGTAAAAAAAACAGGACCCATAAAAAAATCAACAAATCAAAAGAAACAAATTCACAGATAACCCAGACATTGGAACTGGCAGAAAAGGATTTTTAAAACTAGTGTTATAAATATATATGGGAAATTATAAGTAAAAGATGAAATGAATGGATGAATATATGAAGAATCTTATAAAATAAATAAAAATTGAAAAAATAAACTCATCGAATGAATTCTGAAAAACAAAAACATACCTGGTGGCCTTAACAGCAGAACAAGCAACGCAGAAGGAAGAGTCAATTGTCTTGAAGAAAGATTAATAGAAATTATTCAAAATAAGATATAGAGAAAAAAATACTGAAATATTTATAAATCTATACAGTGTCTACAACTTTTTAAAATAATAATTAGACTGGTACAGAAATAATCTTTTAAGAAATAATGACCAAATTTTCCCCAAATTGAAAAATATTAATTTATAAGTTCAGAAATCCTATTGAATTTCAAACAGAATAAACACAAAGAAACTATGCCATGGCATATCATAGTCAAACTAGTGACCAAGCAAAGCATAGAGAAACTTTTCAGCATAGATAAGCTGCTGAAAACCCATGATAACAAGACAATTTTAAAAACAACCATGAAAAAAGACATAGCGCATCCAAGGGAACAATGGGAAGAATGGCAGTTGACTTCTTATTAGAAATAGAAGCCAGAGATGAGGGAATAAAACACATCTTTAAAGTGCTAAGAACAAACAATCAAGAAGAAACAATCCATCAACTTAGAATTCTACATCCAGCAAAAATACCCTTTACAAATAAAAGTGAAATAAAGGCATTTTGACAATAAAAATGAAAGTGCAGGGAATTTGTTGCCTGTAGACCTACTAAGAAATGCTAAAAGAAGTCTCTCAGGATGAAGAGAAGTAACACAAGTTATAAATTCAGATATAAAAGAAGGATGGAAAAGAATTGAAAATAGTAAATAAGTGGAATATTTTATAATAAATTAATCAGTTCACAAAGAAGAAATAAAAATTATAAATGTCAATGCACTTAATAATATTTCAAAATTAATGATAAGAAGATTAATAGAAACAAAGTAAAAATTAAATCACAAACATGGTTGGAGATTTTTAACACACCTTCTTTTAGCAACTGGTAGATTGAACAAAAGTCAATAAAGATATAGAAGATTTCAACAATACTACCAATCAATATGGCCTGATATACACCTATCGAACATTACATCTGATAACTTCTGAATATATCTGTTTTTTCCTGCACACATAGAACATTTACCAAAGTAGACCACATGCTGAGTCATAAAAAAGTCTATATAAATATGAAAGGACTGAAATCACTGAGTATGTTCTCTGATCACAGTGGAATTGAATTTAGAATCAATAACAATAAGAAATCTAAAAAATACCCAAATATTTAAAAATTAAGCAACACAATTCTAAATATTTCATGGGTTAGTAAAGAATTCAAAAAAGAAATTAGAAAACATTTTTAAATAAATGATGATAAAGACACAACATATCAAATTATATGAGATACTTTAAACATGGTGCAAACAGGAACTTCAGAGCTTCAAATATTCATGTTGTTGTATAACATCATGACATATTAAAGAAGGAATGTTTAATATCAGTGAGCTAACCTTACAAAGCAAGAACAAAAAGAACAAAGTAAACCCAACATAAATAGGAGATAATAATAAAGACAAACAAGAAATCAATAAAACAGAAAACAAGCAATAGAGAAAATCAATAACACCAAATGTTTAGTTTTGAGATTAATAAAATTGATAGCTTCCTAGCAAGAATGATCAAGAAAAAAGAGAAAAATAACAAATTGCCAATATAATAATAAAAAAAGAATATTACCACAAATCCTATTATTAAAGAGATAAGTTGAAAATTTAATGAAACAATTTATACCAATATATTTGAAAATGTACTTTTAAATGAAAAAATTCCTTAATGAACTCAATTCACTAAAAGTGAGACAGAAAGAACATTTGAATAGCTCTATGATGATAATAATTTGCTATTAAAATAACAAATAAATAGTAAATAAATAAGATAAAGTAAAAATAAAATAATAAATAACAAAAATTAACATATTTTGTTTTAAAAACTCCTCTCATAAAGAAAAATCATAATCCAGAAGGCTTAGTGAATTCTATCAAACATTTAAAGAAGACAAAAAAATCAATCTTACTTGAAATCTTACTTTAGGTAGATAGCATATTCCTAATACTGAAACTTTATAAACAAATTACAAGAAAAGAAAATTCAAAATAATATTACTCATACAGTTAAACACAAATATCTTTCAATAGTTTAATAAAATCTAGCAATATATAAAAGGTTATTAAATCATGATTATGTGGGGTCTATCATAGAAGAGAAAGATTGGCTTAATATTTGAAAATTAAAGTGTAATTAATCTCAATAATTCACCTATACTTTATTCCTATATTCTCCTATATTTTGTTCCTACATAATTCCTATATTCAAAATATAGGAGAATGTAGAGAATTATAGAAAAATAATCATATGCTTACTTGAACAGATAAATAGAAATTTTGAAACATTCAACATCTGTTTATGACAAAAAGCTACTAGTAAATTAGAAATAAAAAGGAATTTCCTCAATTTGACAAAAAGCAACAACAAAAAGTTATAGCTAATATAACACTTAATGGTGATGTTATACACTTTTCTTATCTTGGGAACAAGGCAAGAATGTGCTCTGCATGTCTATTCAGCACTGTCCTGGATGTCCCAATCTCATTAGTTAAGAATTAATTAGGCAAAGGCAAGAAGTTAAAGTCATAAACTGGAAAATAATAAGTCTACTACATTTATTTGTAGGTGACATAATCATTCTCTGTACAACAAAGAACATTTAATTCCATTCTATGCTTTTAACTCAGTCCCTAGCCTGCATAGTTAGTATACAATTTGCAAAGTTGGTAAGAGAACCAAATTAGCAATATGGCAAACCAATTCAGGACAAAGGACAATCATAGAAATTTGATTAGAAATGCATTGATGAGTTAACAAGCTACCTTCGCTTTATCTAAAACTTTAAATAAATATGAATAGCAGCAAAACCAACACAAACTATGATTTATAATGGATTATAACGGATAAAATGGCATATACAAGCATTTAAATCAATTTGGAAATTTGGAAAAATTGAATTTTTAAGAAATAATGGGTACAAAAGAAATCTCACAAATGCAAACCCTTTGTATAGGTGAAATTCATATTTGATTCACCAATTTTTTTTTCACCATGAATAATTTTTTTCATATGAAAAAGAGTTGATTCTAATGAATATACTTTTAACACAACAAAGATAAAATGAGAAAAACAGAAATTATTTAATTGTGGTTTTCGAATAATAGAATTAACTTGGCTTAATGGAATTATTTGGTATACTTTAATTTGGAGATTTAAGTAAACAGTGACTCCAGGAGGCTAGATAAATTAGGATTTTTAGATTACAAATGCAATATGGAGATCTCATTTAACAATGACTGTAACTTTGAGATAAAATATGGGGGAAGTAGCCAGTGGCAGCTGAAATCCTTCGTATACAGTTAAGGTCTTATCTACAAAGCTCCCCACATCAATATAGTTTACTTACAAGCACCACATTGAGTTTGTCTGCCCTTCTGAAAGTGATAAGTTAAGATAAGGGTCTCAACAGATGAACAGCTGTTACTGCAGGTGAGTGTTCTACATCAGGCACGGGATTTTCAACTCAAAATAGAGTGAAGTTGAGCCACATAAAATGTTACGAAGATTTTCCCTTGAAACCATTAAAGAGCTGTAACATGATGCTTGTGAATATCACCACTAGGTGGCGCTGAAAGTTAAACAATTATTGAACAGGCTGTGGCGTATTGAAGTTTTCCTAGGGAAAACAATTTGATTTTTTATTTTGTGTCTATATATTTTTTGTTTGACATTAAAACATCATAGTAGCAGACATCTCTTGTACCCTGCCTTACACCTCAGCCCATTTGTTTTCCTCCAGCCCTTGGTGAAGCGCTTGGTTACAGAACCTCAGCTCAGCTCACTGCATATCCCCTGCTTTTTTGCACTAAGTCTTTATTCACAATGTGGTTGGGACACCTGTGAGAAGCTACTTAGCATTTATGAATGCTAAAAACCGCGAGTGTGGGGGAATTAAGACCCAATGGGCAATCCGTGACTATTATGAGACGGGAGTCAGGGCTTTGTGTTCCTCTCATATCCCTCAGGTGTACAATTCTAAGGCAAGATCTTCATTGCTCATGAGAGGATTGCAGTGAGGTCAGATCCAGTTTTCCATAGTGGCGACCAGCTTGATAACACCACTCTACTGAGTGGAATTTTGTAGTATGTGTGGACAGCTTTGTATTTGTCAACAGAGTCAAGGGAAGTCCTATGCAGTCTTTGTGTACGTAAGTGCCCCTTTTCTAGTACATTGTTTTACAAATTACAGTCACCACAGCCTCCCCAAACTCCCTCTCTATCTCCTTAACTCAGCACACATGTCATGCTCTCTTTGGGACTCTTTGTCCTCCAACATAGTCGTCTGGAAAGTGCATCTATGCATTAAACTACAGCTGTCACATGGCTGATTTTGTTTGTTTCTATTCGCTAATGGATCATGGTCTTACACTGACTATTAGTTAACATCTGAAAACAGTTGTTTCTTTTCTTTTCTTTTCTTTTTTTTTTTTT